TTAGGCTGAACCCTGTGTCCAGCCTCTCTCATCGTCAAACCATGGTTGATAACATTTCATTTCATTAGAGTACTCTTCCTCCTCCTCTCACTCTCAGCCCAGCTCTTCCTCTTCCTCTTGCTTCCATGTTGGCTTCCATTGTTGCTGTAAGAAAGTTCTCACCTGTGCTCTTTTTATAGTGCTAACATCCTGATTGATGAGCCAACAATGATGCTACCAGGTGTTTGGTCAGGTGGAACGTGTTTCTTGATCATTGGTCCATGTGTGAGGCATTTTGAATATCAGTGTTTTAAACCTAACACGTGACTTTATGTCAGACTCCTGTGTCTCACGTGGAGAAACGTGTGCAGCGGTTTGCACAAAGTGCCATGTTGATTTGCAAATTGTGTGAAAAGCTGAAAACGTGTTTAGAGTTTTGGAGATTTGAGCCGATGTTTTGCTCTTTGAGTGTCAGTTAAAATAATTGTGCTTTATGTAGAATTTTAGTGTGTTAGCAATCGAGAAAAACTGTAAGCTTAAAGCCACTCAAATAATAATGGCATCAGTCATCAGTAACATGTAAGAGCATGCAGATGGTGATGTTTGGGTTGTCACCACATCCAAGCTGCCCAATATCACATTATCGACCAGCACTCTACAGCGGACCAAGTTTGTTGGTCTCCCCTCTCTGTTGCATAATTAAAGTAGCCAACCAAACCAGACTCAGCCGTGTCCCAGGGTTATATTACAGGGTCTTTGAGGACAGCTCTTTGGCTGAATTTACAACCAGCTAATAATGCGTATCGATCAGCAGAGCCGTGTTTTGACCATTTTCCTGGGTGTACGATAGCAGGGTGAAGGGATATAGATCATGTGTGGCATATGGAAGCACTGAGCAGCAATTCCCTTTAATAAAATAGCCCTAGTCTTTTTTTTAAAGCAATCTAACTGGACAGAGCCAGTTTATCCTGCACTGCACACATTACATCATCTAGGTAGAGCTGGGTATCACACTGTAAGTTCCAAGTACTGACAGAGTTGTGCCCATATTGGGAACTGTTAGGAAGAACTGAGAGTTGGCCCTGAATTCCTGTTCTGATCCTGTCAGGTGCTGCCTTGTGAACACCATGATTTGTTAACTTTGCTGTATCTTATTTAGTCATTGAACAGTTTTACAAATGAAACATTCAAATTTCATAACAGTGTTACATTGAAGCATTTTAGATGTTTGGCTTCATTTATAAATGACTAAAAACCTGTTTATACTTGTCATCATATAAGTATATAACAGCAGAAAGAATCACTGTTCATTGAGTATTGATCTTCCAATGAGATATTTCCATAAATGATGAATGGTGCTTACTCCCAAAAATACAATATATTATAGCCACAAACATTACACAGAAATGAACAAGATAATCAAGAACCGATCATTAAAGCTAATCAAAGGAACAGCTATACACGAGCCATAGGCCTTAATGCTATGCTTCCATTTGCAATGAACTTTGTGCTTGAAAGTGTCAGCTAATTAAAAGAGCAAGAAGAAGCAATTATCTGATTTACTCCCTACTGTCAGTATTAATGACAGGTTGCAAAAAGACTATCTGAATCCAATATGTTGGGCATCACAGTGAGGCTGGCACTCTGCTTCATCTTCTCTCGCTACATCAAGAGATAAGGCACATAAAGCTCTGCAAAGATTGCATTTAAATGGGACAGGGAGACCTTCAGGAGGATTCTTCAGACCGAGCCAAGAAATATATCAGAAAATCAATCAGCACTGCTGATCAAAGCAACATCTATTCAAGAAAGCATGCCAGTGACAAACTACAAATTGCATCCAGCTTTCCAGCCCCCTCTGCTGTTCTTTAATTTATATGATTCGTGGCTATTTTAAACAACTGCAAAGTCACTGGCTGACCTTCATTGAGGCAGAGTGATATTGTGGAGCAATCCTGTAAGTGACAGAAGTTGGCTAACTTTCAATTAGTTGGCATCTCACCTTTGACAACATATATGAGTGAAATATAAAGGATTATGAGTGGAGACCATGTTCATCAATTATACTGTAATATGTGATGGGCAGCTGTCTGATGGCACGTTAGGGGAAGCCATGAAGCTCGGTTAAAAAGGTGAACATGTCAGTGACGCATTACGTCTACATCATTTAAGTCAGTAACAGAGTTGGCTGCCTTGATGTTTTATAACTCCACCACAGCATCCATGTTTAAGGGGTGCTTACTCGTTATAATGCACCTGTTATGTTGGGACATGCATGTTACAAAACACGGTCGTTTCATCCTGTTAGCAGCAGCTAGTCAGCGGTAGCTAGGTAGTAATGTCTGACTGGTCCTCGGTGATTCACTCGGGATGCAAATACAAAAGGATGAGATGCTGAGGTAAATGCCAGAGCGCCTGGATAAGCACAAATAAAGGACTGTGCACCTTAATTCGACATAGCATTGTTATGACTAGTAATTGCAGTAGTACTATTGCAAATGCATTAAAAAGGGGAAGAGAAAAGCCTTACCACAGATGCAGTGTAGTGACCATGTCTTTACAGTTCTTGGCGCAGGAAACAATTGGGGGGGTCACTGATTCCCAGCTCTTCAAAGACACACGGCCTCCATTAGGGTCCGATCCGAATATGTATTTATTCTTATTGGAGAGGTGGGCTGTACGCAGACTAGAACATTATGGAAAGTCAAAAAGTGCTGTGTTTGCCCGTTTCCTTGAATGCGGGATGTGATGCTCAGCTCGGCTGCACTCTCCGGTCGCTCCTCCCTGCAGCAAGATCGGCTTTGGGCGGGAAGAAATCACCGGCATGGATCAGACACTGGAGGACAGGGGCCGTGTGCAAAACATGGCGACGGGGTCAAAAACACGGATCCGGAGTAGCTAGTTATGTGACCGAGGACACCCCATCTAGCTTGATGGAGTAATGCTTGTTATATAATTTTCCTGATGAGAAAATATAATGGAGTGCAATAATGAACTCACTTAAGAAACGTAGCCATAGGTCAGAGAATATAACGTTACTGGATTGCTCATGTTTGTAGAAGTAGTTTTTTTTGTTTAAATGTTTTTAGATGTGGTGGAGCAAGGGGGTACTTTTAGAGATTTGTCTGTTGTCTGTGTCATAATCGGTCTGTTTTAATTGCAAATCAAATCTACCTTTTGGTACAAATAAATAAACTGAAACCTGAAAGGCAAAGTGCCACATGAATATAGGGTACAGTTTTCCATTTGAACAATACAAAAATATTAATAAAATATGAATGATTACTGAAACTAAAAGAAAAAGATCACCCAGCCGCTTTCATCTTTTCATTTTGCTCAACTCTATTCAATCTGATCAGTTACATACATACTTGCTAATTAAATATGCAACCAACTAACAGAGTATTGTATAATGTATTGTTGTATATTCTGGTTGTAACATTATATCACTGTCAACCTTAGCTGTTTTTTTATACTGAATATTCTGTAAAGTTAAATGTATATTTGTTCATACGTAATTTTTGCAGCATATTTCAGCATCTCCACATCAATATTGTTCACAATAAGCCAAAAATAATTCTGATTTATAGATATGTTATGTCCTTAGCTGATTACTACTGCGTGGTATGGTTATGAATATAATTATAATTTATACGTCTTTTTTATCTTCTTTCACGTTCTTTCTGATGCTTATGGGCTGTGTTGCCTGGCAACAGCCATGACCAGCCCACCTATAGCTAATGCAGTCAGGCGGCTGTATGTTGTACACATTGAGTTGCCGAACTTGCTGTGCCTGACAATTACTTGAGCAGAAGTCTAAACAGTATAGCTGAAAATAATGAATCTACAGTTCAAATAGATAGATACTATGTCTTTTGGCTCAAATGGGTCATCTGTCAGCCAATACAGAAACCGCCACATATAGAAACACACCCTGCTGATGTCAGAGTTCAGACAAGGTGACCCTAGTATCAGCATAATACACATACAAGGCCTGGAGCAGATTGTGATTGTTTGGTTCACTTTAATGTGTGAACTTCTGCATGGTATCCTGGAAACCTGCACTCCTGGGCTTTTCCCACACAGTGGGGAATACTTTGTTTACAAATGTAACATGAGAGGGGGGCTTTATGGAGAATATTTTACACAAGTACAAGTTACTTGTGTACCTAAAATATTCTCCATAGGCAGTCCATGGGAAAGGGTAACCAACTCTTTCATCTGTCTTTGTCTGTCCCAAATATGGTTGGGTAACATATTTCCTGTCTTGCTTATCCAACCTGAAAATGCTCCAGTTTAAGCTCTTCCTCCGGTCACATAACTTGCTCTGTATGGGCTGGTGAAAATGTATGTTAATATCTGTTTCTTGATTTGAGAATATAGAGAAACATTCTTAATGTCTACTTGTTGTGCAAAAGGAAGACATTATTTGGTTTTCACATGCAAAATGTTTTATTAAAAATAGTTTTAAAAAGTCACTTAATTTAGAAGAGAAGCTACTGACTTTCTCCTCTGGTCTATAACAACATCTACTAGTTTATATGGGCCAAATATGATTTAGCCTGACATGGTGATCATCTCTAACTTTTACTTTGGCAAAACAACTTCTAAGTAGAATAACCTTATTTTCAAAAATGTGCTGCATTCATGATTCACTCATCTTCAGAATCTTGTCTGACATATATAAAAAAATAAACAGTATTGCTGTAATTTACTTGAGCCAGAACTGTTGAAACAACCTAATTAAGCCTTGATGACATGATGATCCACACCTTGCGTTTAGCCCTATTATAAAAAAAGTATTCACTTGACAGGGAGTCAAACGTCAATGTCAAGGCACATTCATTCCTAAGAAAAATTATTATTAAGCCAACTTTGTTAATAATTAAGCAAGAACTACAAAAGAAAATCATACTGACAGTTAACTACCCTCAACGAAACACGTCACGTTGTGGTTTTACGTTGAGTAATTTGCAGGTAATTTGATAACAGAGGAATTTGAACAGCTGTCCTTCCTAAGGTCGTAACAGAAGGACGTATGGAGTATGATGAAACTGGTCACATGACTGATGACGTTCCAGCGGGAGTAACTCCGGTGATGCACGTTTGTGAATCACTTGACTGAGAGAGCCGGTAGAGGAGGACGAAAAGAGAGGAATTAAGTCTCACTTAGACGACTGAACACAACCAGAAAAGGTACGAAGCAGATTGGTAAACTCTTTAACTGTTCTGCCTTTTATTTAACATTAGTGTCTTTTTATAGGATGTACATTTGTCTTTGCCGGTAACTCTCTGGTGCAACGTGGTCTACTGCCGGGTGTTAACGCTGTTTCCGGAGATACGCCTACAGTTAGTTTTTATTCAGCAATCCTCTTTATATTTGACTTTAATAGTGTTTATATGAACCTTTTAGATAACATTTGTTTGTACATATCGCAGTCAGTGTTTAACCTAATGTTGGTATGTGAGACGATTTGACACTAGGCCTGTGAAAGTAGGATACCGTATTCAGGAGCCTCATTTCACACCCTATAAGACTTTTTTGGGATGAAATTCATTACGGATATTTCAACCAGTTAATGATGTATTTATTAAAACAAAGACTCTGGTGTTTCGGTAACTAAGTTACCTAAGTCAGTTTTATAACAATGCCAAGGACACATCAGTTACGCAACTTTGAAGTGAACGCCCCCTTATGGCAAAATGAGGACACAGCGCTTTATTTCTTATGACACAGAATACCTTTATTCGTCCCACAGAGGGGACATTTACAATCAAAATGAAAATAAACCTTGGATAATGTCAAAACAATTGCATTACAATGGAAATAATTCAGCATTAATTGGTTATTTCTGACAATAATGTTAAGAAATGGAGTCCTAATTGTGTGTATTTGTTTTACCTTTTGTAGAAACCATGCCTGCAGATATTGCCAAAGGAAAGAAGGCGTTTGTCCAGAAGTGTGCCCAGTGCCATAGTGTGGAGAATGGTGGAAAGCACAAGGTCGGGCCTAACCTTTGGGGTCTGTTTGGACGCAAAACAGGCCAGGCAGCCGGCTACTCCTATACTGATGCCAACAAAAGCAAAGGTAAATACTGTACATGTGTTTTAAACTAACTGAATATTCTAAGGAATAATGCTGTATGCCTTACACATTATTCTTACTTTGATTTCAGGCATTGTCTGGGATGACGACACCCTGATGATCTATTTGGAAAATCCCAAGAAATACATTCCAGGAACAAAGATGATCTTTGCTGGCATCAAGAAGAAGGGAGAACGCACGGATCTTGTAGCATATCTCAAGTCTGCAACTTCATAAAGAACATTTCATATGTGCAGCTTTGCTATTATTTTGTGCCCTGACAAACGGTTAAAGACGAACTCACGCCGTTCTTTCAAAACCAGGCACAACTGCAAACAAGTTATTAATGATATTGGCATGACAGTTCACCATCTTTGTCACAGCTGTACCTCTGTTTCTGACATGATCCACGTGTGGTGGACAAGCAATGCATAAATCCCCTGGTTTTAACAGGTTTCATTTTTCTATCATAAATTATTAAACCATATACTGTGTGTTCAGAATGTAGGGACTGAAAGCTGTATTTTGTCATTGTCATCCTGATTTTCTTGATTAATTATGAAGTTGTATGCCTTATCTGCTTCCAATTTTATGATGCCTTTTTAATGCCTTTTCTGAATTTGCAAGGTGAATAAAATTGACACTAAATGTTATTTTGTATTTGTTTCACTTTTTGTAACTACTAAGTGGTCTGTATTGGGTTTCTGAAAAAGTGTGGATTATCATTTCAGGTCTCAATTATTGTTTCAACAGAGTTGGCTCAGAAATTAGAGCAATAGTCTCTGTATGTTCTCCTTGAGGAGAAGAGTATTTGAAAGAAAGTTGAAGAAGAGTGCATGTTGGGTTACAGATGTTGACTATCTGACAGTTGAGTGTCTGGGGAACTGCAGGTTGGCAACATCTGCTAAATGAATAAAGTGATTTGGCTTGATGTCATTAACTTGCAAGTATTTATGCAATCCAATTTTTTTTTTAATTAAGACTCATTGTCATGACTCTTACATGTTTTCGACATTTCTTGGGAAATCTTTAATTTAAATGTATTGTTAAAAGGGATCAATTGTTGTACATGAGGCAGAGAAGCTAAAACTGTTCCATCCATCAGAGTTGGGCCGTGTGTCTTCAGTGTATTCCAGTCTATGCTGTGGAGTATAGCTCCCTCTAGTGTTCAGATGTCACACCTGCACACAGATTCACCAACAATTCTGTATAAAGGAATTACATTTTCTGACATCCCTTCCTGTCAATAAAATGTTACATAATGAAATTGTATAGATCATCCATTGCTGATTCCACATCTCCAAAGTGTGTGGCTTGTGAAATAGATGTATTGCCGAGTTGCAGTATCTGTTAGGCCTATATAATGTATACATGCTTACACATTGTTCTTCGGGCGACAGTCATTCAACTTGATTACTTCTGGCAGCCAGCAGTGCCATCACCAACGCCTTGTCTTGACTCCATAGAAATCCATTATGTTGAAGCTATTTTCATTAAATTATAATCCACCCACAATTTGGGGCTCTTCTACCTCAAATAAGCCTTATACTACATCTAGTTGAGTATTGAATTATTGCTGAAGCACATTTTAATCAATGAGCATACATCCACCACTGTATCTACAATTTTTACAACTTCATAAAGCAATATGCATAATACATTATGCATGATAGAAGAATGCATCCTAATTGTCATCATCATCACCATCAAACACTTTGAAGGAGGGGCAGGCGGTTCAGATGGCCAGAGGGCTGAGTGACTGCTGGAGCAACGCTCCTCTCTGTGACGAAGTTAGCGTCAGCGGCATCGAGCCAACCACAGCCAGCGTCATCTGCGCACAAGAAGACCCATACGACGGTGTTGTTCGCTCGTTAGTGGCTCTCTGTGAGATTTCCAATGCATGTGGTTGTCTAAATGTCCTTTCCTTATCTTCTTTATTGTTTTTAAATTAAGTGAGCGGTGTGGAGATGCTGTGGAGGAATATGCTGGTGCGCAAAGGGAGACTCCATCCACTCTCAGTGGAAACTGGATTATGTGGCCAGGGCTCCGGGGTTGTTCCCAGCACAATGCATCTTGGAAGTTATGGTAGTGCAACGATTCTCTACTTTAACTCTCAGTAAAACTTCATAGATGATATTTTTCTGCGCGTCTTCGTGGATTTGGTTCTCTGAGGACCCTCTGAAGAACAGCCATGGCAGTGTCAACTATGGTGTTCTCTGACGTGGAAAGTTTTCTGGACTCGCATCCCGAGTTATTCGAAGACTATCTGAACAGAAAGGGGAAACATAGCATGGTGGAGAAATGGCTCAAGAATCACAAGGCGTCTAAAAGTGCTGCACCTGCCGCCGAGCCCAGAGAGGAGAAGAGTAAGGACAGCTGGGCGAGCAAATGTGATGGTCTGCAGAGGAGAGCCTCGCAGAGGGAGCTGCGCAAAACTTTCGCCAGATCAAAAGCCTTCAATGTGAACAGGACATACGACGAACATGTGAACACCAGGGCCCAGGAGCCCCTGACCAGCATGAGGAGGAGAGCTCTGCTGAGGAAGGCGAGCTCTCTGCCCCCCACCACTGCGCACATCCTGAGCGCACTGCTGGAGTCCAGAGTCAACATCCCCCAGTACCCGTCCACAGCCGTGGATTTTAAATATTACCTCAAAGAACACAACGAGAGAGAGTTTTTCCTGGAGCTTGTAAAAGACATATCTAATGACTTGGATCTTACGAGTCTCAGCTACAAAATACTTGTGTTTGTTTGTATTATGGTGGATGCAGACCGGTGCTCCTTGTTTTTAGTGGAGGGCACAGGCAACAAGAAGACACTGGTGTCCAAATTCTTTGACGTGCACGCGGGTACAAAAGTGTTACCCTCAATTAATTCAGATGAAGTTCAAGTGCCGTGGGGGAAAGGAATCATTGGATATGTGGCCGAACACGGAGAGACAGTGAACATTTCTGACGCTTATCAGGTGCCTGCTCCTCTTTGTGCATGCATGCGTGTGTGCATTTGCATGAGTCACATAAAGAAAGAGAGAGAGAGAGAGAGAGGAGAGAGAGATATGAGATAGAGAGAGAGAGAGAGCGAGGAGAGTAGAGATAGATAAGGAGATGGAAGAGGAGCAGGGAGATAAGGGGATGCGTCAGAGTAGAGAGTGGAGTAGAGAGAGGTAGGGAGAGAGACAGAGACGAGAGGAGAGAGCGCGCTAGGAGAATAGAGCCGATAGGGAGAAGAGAGAGAAGAGAATAAAACTCAGACAGGGAGACAGGTTGTTTACTTTCATTAATTGATCATCAATCAAACTGGGTTACAGTGCTGAGAGCATGGAAGACCAACAGCCTGAGTGTTTGTCAAACAACTGATTCACAAGAAAATATCTGAGTAGGAAAATAAATAACTAAATAAAGGAGGGGAGAAATTATCTCTCTGTGGTTTTTAAAAACTTCACTTTGTCTACTTAAGAAAGTGAGACATTACTAGATTACATTAAAGCTGCAAGTAGGAGGCTTTTTTTTTATGTAGAAGACAATACCGTTACTTGGTACCAAATGGTACCAGTAGAAATTAGTATACAAATGTGAACTAATATTGCTTTAATGTCCTTAAACAGTAAGGCTTCCCCTCTCAGTCAACTAGTCGACACATTTCTCATGCTGACGTTATTTTCAATAAAGTTAGAGGACACCTCTGCTAAACACAAGATTAAATGTGGTGTTTTTACATGGTTGTTTATGGACACATCTGTTGAATAAGTCCAGTAATCGATTAGTCCACAAACTGGCGTCAGTGTTAGTCGACTAATCATTTATGTAGTCCAGGAAGGCCCTAATAAACACATACACAACCTCTACAAGCCAGACATGTTATACATCATATTGCCTTTCTAGTATATTGTTGGTGTGTGAGACATGGAGTCCTGATGAGTTGTACATTTTGCTGCACAGTCAGCTGAAGGTAAAAAGGGAAAAACTGCTTTTTGGGGGTGCAAAAAGTGCTTACATTGTGTCTTAATTTTGCACTGTCCCTATGGATTGCAGGATCGTCGGTTCAGTGATGAAATTGACAAGCTGACAGGGTACAAAACCAGGTCACTCCCTGTGCATGCCCATATGCAACAGTGATGGAGATATTATTGGAGTGGCTCAGGCCATCAACAAGACTTCAATTGGAGAACTCTTCAATGAAGATGATGAGAAGGTAATTACAGTACAAATTATATAAATGCTGATGTTTGTGTGATTATTTATTTGAATACATGTATGAAATGATGGGGGAACAATGATGTAATGCTAATTTACCAGTGATTTATATGAAGTAACCAATAACTATATCTCCATGGTTCTGTGGCAATTTTGTAGTTTCTTTACAATTTGTGTCACATTTGCAAACCTGCGCCAGGGATAGCAATTGCAATAGTTGGTCCACAGAGCAAAGACATTTTTACAGACATCCTACTCAGAAGATATATGATTCATGATGATGTGAATCGTCCTCGAGCGCCACCAGTAAATGTTTTGACATCTGTTGGATGAATTGCAATGAAATCTGGAACAGACATTAAAGGTGGGGTAGGTAAGTTTGAGAAACCGGCTCGAGATACACTTTTTGTTATATTCCATGGAATGCTCTTAACATCCCGATAGCAATGAATATCTTAAGTGCTTTGACAAAAAAAACATAAAAAAACGTCATCTGTGGAAGACTAGTACTGTAAAAAGCACGACCAATCATTTTATCCGGCCCGGCTAAAGTAACTGGATGGCCTACCTGCCTGTCAGCCTTCCATCTGTGCACAAATGTACCTCGTGCCCTCATTGGTCATGTGCGCGTTCGTGTGTGTTGGAGGAGGGGCTCTGTAAGGAAGTGGCAGATTTTTTCCCGGCTGTGTATTTTCAAATTCTAGCGCACTCGAGCTGGTTTCTCCAAAATTACCTACCCCATCTTTAAGTTTCCCCTCTGGAAAGCTTTTCTTTAGTGCCATCATCAAGACTGTAAGACTGTGAACGGTAACATTTTCATTGTGATGATGTCATGTTGACGCTAGCAGAGCTGCTAGCATGGCCTTAGTTTAGTTTACTATTGCAGCACAGAGAAGTCTAGTGCAGAGGGAAAATATGCCTGAAGTAAAAATGTTCAGACTTCATGATTCATGTGTTGTGTTTCAAGGATGTTTCTCAGGGTTATTTTTAGGCCAATACTGTTATGTAGGGTTTGTTGTGCAGAAGCAAAGCAGCGTTGTTATTTTGATGGATGGATTTTTCCGAAGTTAAAAGGGGGTTTTCTCACAATTTGTATGTTAGGATTTGCGAGTGTTTCTTTGGAACATTTAATCTATGCTTGGGGCATTGATCTATAGGACTTTTTTGTGACGGATGCTCAGACTGACCATTTCGTTTTTACTTAATTAGAATTGTGAAAATCTGAGATGAACATCACAATATTATCTTCAGAATTGTATCAGAGCTCACTCTTTGCGCTACATTTGTCTTTTCCTCTTGCATCCTGTCTTAAGAAACACTAACTGCAGCTGCTGTCTGATAAACAGACAGTAATGTTCACCCTTTATTTATTTATTTGTTTCTGTGTCTTGGCTGAACATAACTCATATGTATTATTAACTCCAACTCAGTCTGACTTGTAGCATATTGGCCCTGAGTCT